GAGGAAAAGAAGGAGGAGGGCGAGCGGGAGACGGCGGGCTGGATGTGCTCGACGGGCTCGGCCACGGACCGGAACTCCAGCGTGCCCACGCACGTGGACGCCAGCAGCGGCGTGAACACCATGTGGTTGCGCGGCGCCACACACACCACGTCCCACGCGCGCACGTCCACGTCGCGCAGGAACCGGCACGCCGCCCACCCCGTCCCCAGCACCACCACGCGCGGCTTCTCGCCCGGCCCCGTGGGCGGCAGCCGCCCGCCCTGCCATGGCGTGCTGCTAGTGGGGGCGGTGCTGCGCCGCGCATCGCCTGTGGGAACGGCAGCACTGGGGCGATCGGCCCCCCCACCACCCACACCATCGCCATCCCGCGCGCCAACACAAGCCGAGGCGCCTCTCGTGGTGCTTGCGCTCCCTTCCGCCCCCTTCCCCTCTCGCCCCTCCCCCTCAAGCCTCTGCCCCTCTGACACTGTGGCGGCTTCCGGCGATCCCTCCTGCGCCTGCCCCAATTCCTTAGGCTGCGCGCATGGCGCGGCGGACGAGATGCGCGCGGATCGGGGAGGGGCAATCCGCGCGGAGAAGGCTGTTGGCGCAGCTGCTCCGCTTGCTGGGATGCGATCAACATTCGGGATAGGAGAAGCCGCGGGGAGAGGCGGAGAGAGGAGAGGGTGCGACGCGCGGAGAGAGTGGATGGCGGAGAATTGGCGCGGAGAGGTGATGACGGAGCTGCTTTGAGCTTGCTGCTGGCATCGCTGCGCGGCGAGCCATGCGGCTCGGATCAGCCGCATGGGGGACGATGAGGACGAAGAGCCGCCGCGCGTGCCGTGAGGCGTGGGGCGAGGGAGCAGATAGCGGCGCGAGGCGATGGACGGTGGGGAAGAGGGCAGGGGGAGGGGAATTCAGTGGTCGATCGGGACGCGCGTTTACGGTCGACGGTGAAAATCGAGGGGCAACAGGAGACGATCTACACATCCTCGAACCTGCTGTGAGGCAGCTGTGCTGCCATTCGCGTTCCTCGAACCTTGCCTGGCATCTGTTCAGTGGAAGCGCGACATGCCTGTTCGTAGTGTCTGGGTGACTCGCTGGCCGAGTTCTCTAGGCACTTCGACGGCGACGTCGACATTCAGGAAACTCCACATGCGAATTCGCGGGCACTGGTTACCACCCACTTTACCGAGTCTCCCTCGGAAGCCACGTGAGCAAATTGCGGAAACCGTTCGCGAGATTGAGAGTGGAGCGATGAGTTTGATTAGGAGGTACTAACAGGGCGAACCAAATACAGCTGGTATGCTCTATGCTCCAAATCCGCGACTCGCAAATATGGACTACGACGAATAGGAGCGGTTCACAATGGGCAAAATGGATAATCGAGTAGCACGTACGGTTGTAGGGTGGGGTGGCGTAGGCCGTTTTACTCGTTTTGTTCACGATGGGTGCCTTGGCGTATTGGCCCTTAGGCCAGGTTACCAGCGATTTCGCAGCGTGTCATGTGAGGGCTCATGTGGCTTCTTAAAAAACCCTCAGCAAATTTGTCGTCTGGTCAGAATTACCGCGGACATAGAAGTAACACCTCGTTCTCGACCTTCCCACAAGCAGCGCAGGCTCAAAACGCGCAAACCAAATAGTATAGAAAACCCTTTTCGTGGTCTCACGAAAAGGGCAAAACGGAACGAAATATAGACGACTGAATTTAACGATTTCGATAACCAATCACACGTTTTAACTAAAGTGAAAAAAAAAAAAAAAAAAAAAAAAAAAAAAACCCCTAGACAAAATCATTTTCGAAATGTGCAGTTGTAAAGGGTGATTGAGGGACCGGGGGTCGTGTTTCGTACTCGGGACGGACCTTTTCGTGTCACGCGGGAAGCCTGAATATTGACGTGATTGGTTATAAAATATGGAAAACGACTCGAATGCTCTTGACACGAGGATTAGAATAGGACCGTAGTAATTTTTTGTTGCCCCCCCCCCCGGTCCGTCGTGATTACGCCGGATCGCCCTAGCAAGCGCGTATTGGCCGGGCAATTCCAAGCACAATTCATGAGGAATTTCGGAGCTCGCACTCACGGAATGGTTGGCGACGCTGGCATGCTGCAATCGCACCCAATTCGGGTGGCGCGAATCGATGGTTGGTGGCATTATGCGACTGTCGTGATTGGTCACTATGTTCTTTTGCGCTTTTTAGCGAACTCTAACAGTAGATGTATACCGTACACTCGGAGTACATCGTGGTGGATCTTATCAAATTTCGGACCTTGGAGTATTATATGGAATAAAATGTCACGGACCTAATGGCATACCCTCTGTAACTAAGTTCGGCGAGATGCACCCACAATCTCCAGCACAATGGATTAAGGTACAGCGGGTGTGCTCTATGCTCCAAATCCGCGACTCGCAAATATGGACTACGACAAATAGGAGCGGTTCACTACGGGCAAAATGGATTATCGAGTAGCACGTACGGTTTTAGGTGGGGTGGCGTAGGCCGTTTTACTTTCTATTCACGATGAGTGCTTTGTCGTATTGGCCCTTGGGCCAGGTTACCAGCGATTTCGCCGCGTGTCATGTGAGGGCTCATGTGGCTTCTTAAAAAACGTTTAGCGAATTTGTCGTCTGGTCAGAATTACCGTGGACAATAGAAGTAACACCTCGTTCTCGACCTTCCGCAAGTAGCGCAAGCTCAAAACGCGCAAATCAGAAAAACCCTTTTCGTTGTCTCACGAAAAGGGCTTAACGTAACGAAATTATGACGATTCGCCTGAGCGGTTTCGTTAACCAATCACACACTTTCACGAAGGTTAAAAATACCATTTAAGAAAACATTTTCGAAATGTGCACTGGTTAATGGTGATCGAGGGACCGTGGGCCCTGTTTTCGTATTCGGGACGGACCTGTTCGTGTCACGCGGAAAGCCTAAATATTTACGTGATTAGTTATAAAATATGGAAAATGCCTCGAATGTTCTTGACACGAGGATTAGAATGGGACCATAATAATAAGACAGAATGGATGAAAATGGGGTACGGATTCATGCCCATGTCAGCGCGCATGCAAAAGTGCCAGGTGGACGGGGGTACCAGCTGGCTGTCGCCCCCCGGTCCATCGTGATTACGTCTGATCGCCCTAGCAAGCGCGTATTGGCCGGGCAATTCCAAGCACAATTCACGAGGAATTTCCGAGCTCGCACTCGCGGGTTGGTTGGCGACACTCGCATGCTGCGATCGCACCCAATTCGGGTGGCGCGAGTCGATGGTCGGTGGCATTATGCGACTGTCATGATTGGTCACAATGTTTTATTGCGCCTTTTTAGCGAAGTCAACAGTAGATGTATACCGTACACACGGAGTACATCGTGGCGGATCTTATCAAATTCCGGACCTTGGAGTATTATATGGAGTAAAATGTCACGGACCTAATGGCATACCCGCTGTATTTATCTCCCGCGTAACCAACTTCCGAGGTGATGACATCAGCAGTCACCTACGTGGCTTCACGGTAACCATCAAATCGACTTCGTCCCAGCGTGGTACCAATTATCCCTTCATGGTACCAATTTGTATACCACAGATTTCGTAACTGGTAACCATCAGTTTCAACGTTTTCGAATTGCCCCCACGTGTTTCGTACAGGCCCTGACGAAAGTCGCGAAGAAGAACATCTAGTACAGAGTATATCGCAGGTGCGCTTAGGCTGAAATGTTACGCAACACATATCATAATAACTAGGTTCGGCGAGATTTTTTTTAGCAAGGGTAAGGCAATTCTGAGGGGGTGGGGTCATGCTGACGCGGTTTTTTTTTTTTTTTTTTTTTTTTTTTTTGTGGAGGCCTAGTACACCCCTGAGGCTGATGTAAAGCTTAAAGCCCAGAGCCCAAGTTACAAGCCGCGAAAAGTGAGCGCGGTTTGGTTTGGGACGAGAGGCCTTCGATTGGCTGCGAGGGTGACGAGAGCCTGAAGTCTGAAAATTTGGCTTGCGAAACTCGCATACGCAAATCAGCACTTCGCAAATCAGAACTTAAACAAGGCTGCAAAAGGAAAACAAGAACCAGCAATGCACAGCACATTGTAGCGGAGAGCACAAACAAGGCTAACGCGTCACACCGTTAAAACCCGCGGCCCAAATTGTTCATACGCACTGCGTATGAACTGTGAGCCTCGGCCTGGACGAAATACACAGAAAACTCGTGTATTTGTGTAACCATCCTTCGTCGTTCTTCTTTATCTGCTTCTTTCGGGGGCAATCGTGAGATTGGTGACCCGGCTGGTGCGAAAATCTTCCATGTGCTCCTTCGCCACTACGCCGTGAATCGTGGGCCGTGGATCCTGGCCACGAAAACGATTTCCCTCCCGGGAACCCGCTCTCGCATACGTCCAATGTGCGTCGAAATTGTCTGCGATCCGGACAGCTACGTGAAATGTCGCCGGCAGTCGCAGTCGGACCTCGCATTTAATGTCCTGCTTCAAACCCGAAATGAATCGAGCTTTCTTCTCGGAGTCATGCATGTCGGTGATTTGATCGCATAACGCCATGAAGACTGACGCGTAATTGTCCAGCTTCATGCGTGCGTTGTCCGAGGCGGATATTGGCTCGAAACGTTCATGCAGAGCTGTACCCCACGCCTTCCACGTGCGAATCTTGGTCGATCCAAAAATCGCGGTTGACCCTTGGGCAGCAGACCCAAAGTTTCCGAAAAACCCCTGTGTGTCGCCTGCTGAAAACTCCCCCTCCTGTAGAGTATATCACCACCAATCTAGCGCAGGTCCCCGCAGTAGTGATACAGCTAGTCGAATTTTTAAATCATCAGCAGTGATCCCAGCGGCATTAAAATAAAGTTCCGCCGAAAATAACCAGCCCGTAACAGTAGTATTCTTATCTGTGGGGTTGAACGGGGGCGGCATTGTCGGTTTGATCGTCGCTGTCATCACGATCGGCATAAACGCCGGTGCGGCTACAGTAGCGGCTGCTTCTGACCGAGCGGCTACTGCTGCTGCTGCTGCTTCGGCTGGTGCTCGTGCTACCACGTCAGCTGCTGCGGCGGCTTCACTGTCCTTGCGCTCCTGTGACACCTCACGTGCGATTTCGTCCAAGACAGTTTCGACACGTCCGGTGCTCGCGACCTCTTCTTGGGCGGCAGATTTCTGATGCGAATCCTCTCGCTCCTGGCGTAACTCAGCAACTTCCGCACGAAGTTGCTCGTTGTCCTCCAGCACTGTAGCCATGCGTGTGTTCATGGCGTTGAACTGCTCCCGAAGCTCGTTGAACTGAGCTTGGTCCATTTGGCGAATGCTCCGCCGAAAGGGGAAATCCGTAATGTGCCTGTACTCAGGTAAGCGCAAACACTATCGTAGTTGGGCAAATTTTTCAGTCTAATTCGCGAGCAACCGCTTTGCAGCTTACGTGAGGGACTCACCCCCCCCCCAAAAAAAATCAACTCACGAAAATGGGTGAGCGAGGAAAGTGGCTATGAATACCAGGTGTTATGAATGAACAAGCAGAGTAGCGCGGAAATGAATAACAAGATGTTCAATCAATGAATGACGATACAAGGAATGGCAAGCCAAGATATAGGAACACCAGAGCTAGTCTAACCATGCGATGGGAAGGTTCGGGAGAGGGATCGAAGGGTCTCGAAGTGACGAAGGGAGGCGTGGAGAACTCCCGAAGGTCGAACCGAAAGGTCTGGAGAAGCCGAGGCGGTTCTGTCAGAAGGTTTGGAACAGTCCTGAGGCTTCGGGTGTGTTCGAGCATACGCGCTAGCAGTACCGCTCGGTAAGGAATGGAAAATTCCTTACAGTAGATAAATATATTTATATATACAGTGGCGGAAACAATTGTCCACATGTTTAGCATATTTTCACATTTTGTCGAGCTGTACGCTATAAACATTAAGCCTTAATTCATGGTGGCCATACACGTAGAGAGGAGCAGTTAGAGCACTCACTCAAATCTCCTAAAACCATAGTAGTATATTTCATGGTCCTTCAAGATGACAACATTGAATAACAGCACATCCGGACAATTTGTACCGGGGACAGGCAGCAAACTAGTTACTAGCAAAACTAGTACCTAGTCAGCCGACACTTGGCCTTGATCACCACCTACACCCTCCTAGGCATGTTATCTACGAGGTTAGTGCAAACCTTTACAGGGATCTTCTCGCACTCTTCCTGGACCCACGCTTTTTCATAAGGGGGTGAGCACTAGGAAAATCGCGAAGTATTTGAACGTATGCAAGAGTACTGTGCACAATTTCATATTGAATGTTATCTCTAAGACTAGCCATGCTGAGGTGTGGCCAAAGATGCCATTACTCGATTG